TCGTTTATTATATAATTTTAATTATTATTATTTATTTATTTTTCAAAACTTGTTCTCTATTTATTGAATTGCACATGGTTGTAAAGTAGGTCAGATCAAGTCGCGTTGTAATTTTCCGTTGGACCAATTCTTGCAAAGAATTGCACCTTTAGACTCAATCCGAGTCCAAACCGTCAAAGAGAATTAAGAGATCCCTTTCGCTCCCCGTTACATGAGGTTATAATTTTTGAAATAGTATTTTTTTTAGGGAATGTGTGGTTGAAAAAATATGAAAAGTTTTTAATTTATGTACAATATTATTTTATTAGAGTGTGTGATTAAAAAAAAAAGGAGAAAATGTATTACTCTATTTGTCTCATTTATATAGTCTGATTTTCCTTATTTTATTGTCTCAATTATATAATCTTTTTTATTTATTGATAATGTTTTATTTTGTTCATTTACTAATATATTCTTATTTAATTTGCTTAATTATGACCAATTTATTGGGCTTGAGCATGGTTTGGTTTGGTTTGGGTTGGGTTGGTTTTGACCCCAACCCCAAATCAAAACCAAATAAATCGGTTTTGGTGAATTTCACCCCAAATCGATCCAATATGACTCTTAAACCAAACCAACTCAAACCAAATTGGTTTGGTTAGTTGATTTGAGTTTTTATCCAAATTGAATCTAAAAAATAATAAAAATTGTCTCGAGTTTTGAGCTCACTTATAGTATATAATATAACTTTGTTTTTTGATTTATACACTTTTTCTTATTTGAGTTACAACGTATAACAAATAAAAACAGATCTAGAATTTCAACTTTCAAAAAATTAAAATCATTATCTCAACTGTATTTTCACAACATGTAACCTGTAATTAACGAATCAAATCATAAAATATAATTAAACAGATAAAATATTGTAATCAATGCATAACTATAGGTCCATAATCATTATCTCAATCTACATTTTCAGAAGACGAACTTATTACAAGTAAAACAAGTTATATAGAAAAAAATAACTGAAAAACAGAGCCTACCAATCGAAACAAAAGACAATATTTATAAATGACATAAATAATATCAATGTTTTCTTGAAAGCGTCTTCATAAAACAAAGTTTTTATATAGTATTCAACAAGACTATTCAAAGAGGTAGTTTGGACACCTCCACTTTCGGAAGAACATCATTAAACTTCTAGTTTTGATTTTTCCTTTTTCAAAATGAAAATAAAAATGAAAACATGTACAAGTAGATTGGGTCGGTTAACTAACGGTTTGAGGCTTTAAACCATGATCGAACCGACCCATTGTGTTTTTGTTTAAAATAAAACTAAACCAAATCGATTAACTATGTCAAACTAACTCCTGCCGGAGCCAATTCCGTTCAATCAGTTTGGTCAATTTTTCAAATTTTTTGGCTCATGCCTATAATTTACTACTAGTTGTTGATAATTAAATAAAAGTAAATTATGAAAAATTTTGACAAAAATTACTTTTTCAATAATATTAAATAAAATTTTTTAATCCCTGTGAAAAGCAAAATCAACCTATATGATTTTTAAAATTTCTTTTAGTTGATTTTTGAAAAATTAGTTTCCTGACTCGGAGAGCCAAACCAGAAGCTATTTTCAATAAAAAGGAAAATTGATAGCATTGATGAACACAGAGACTGCACACGAACGGAAGGAGGACTAAAATAAATGAAAATAAGATGATGCCAAATGTGAAAACAAGAAATTCATGACTACAATAGAATAAGCCCCCGTTTGACACCCAT